TTGAAAAACGGCTGCAGTATAGTAAAAAAATTTAGTAGAAAGCAAGAACAAAAAAACAAATAAAGAAAAACAGTAGAAAGCAAGAACAAAAGACAATTGTTTACAGTTTTAATAAATAAATTATTAAATTTCATTAAAGCTTCAATCTTTTTAAATTGCCTAAATTGCTTTTAAATACAATTTTAAAAGGTTTAAATGGTTAGTTCTGAAGAAATATATTTGAATATATAAGTATCTAAATACTTAAGTATTTTAAAATTCTTAAATATTTTTTTTACACTTTTTTACAATATTCGTATTATTGTTCATCATTTTATGATTTTTATCATTAGATAAATTTAATAGTTTAAAAACTTATTTAAATCAAAAGCTTTTAAATGAAAGTTAAATAAAAGTTTTTGAAATCTTAAATAATAACTTAATTAATAATAACTTAAATAACTTTATTATTATTTTAATTGAAAAACTTGGTTGGCTCGCCGATTTCCGTTAAATATAATGTTTGTTAAAAGAACTTTTGTTGCAATATGCTACTTTAATTTGAATAAGCAACAAAGACATTTAGGGGGCAGAGCGAGATTCTTTGACTGCACGAGGGCAGCAATAAAATTTAATCGGCATATTTATATCTAAACTAGCTATTTTAATAAAAAAATGTATTTAAATACAAAGGTATTTTTTTTTTCTAATTAACAAATATGCATTAAATATCTACATAAATTTTGTATTTGTATATTTAAAAAAAAAAAAATTATCCTTATAAATATTGGTTAATAATTAAAAATATAATGTTATTTAATTATCTTCTTTTATGTTTTACGCAAATATAACATAAATAACACGTTTCATTGCAAATTTTATTTTTGATTATTTTTGCTATTATTTTCGGATTACTTTACCAGGTAATTTATTTTACTAAAAGTATTAATAAATCATTTATTATAAAAACATTATTAACTTATTTTAAAATATAACATTTATTAATACGCAAATTTCTTTGTAATTTTACTAACTTAAGATAAACAACAAAAATGTAATTAAAGATTTTTTGAATATTAAAAATAAATTAAAATAATTTATTAAACATATTGAAAAATCTTAACTTGAGAATAACTGATGTCAATAAAAATTTAAAAAAAAAAAAGTTTTTTCAACTTCCTATATATTATTGCCGAATTTAAACCTTATCGAGCGTGTTTGACATGAAACCATTGCAACTGAGGTAGTGGCAAGAATAAGACATGTCAAAATTGATATTTTTTACCTTAAGGCATTTTGAAAAACAGCTGCAGTATGGATGATACTACGAATATGTTAAATAATTGGACGCAAAATTTTAAAGCTCTTAACAAAAGCCACTAAACCAAAAAATTAAATGTAATTGCAGCTTAGCACACAAAAATGTTTATATAGTGTGTTGGTGTTTGCAAAGAAACATTATTTAAATCATTTTTTTATTTTAATATAAATTTTTTTTTTAAACTTTGTTGCGTTTAACTATCCCTATATAAACAATGTAGGTATAAATAAATATGTTATTTGTTTATATATATTGTTTATAAAATGTAAAAAATTCACTTATATAAGGTTTTATTCAGGATCATATGTAATATAAATTAACTTTTCTAATAATTACGTCTTTCTTGCTCAAGCTGTTTTGTTTTGATTTTTTGTAGTTATGTTATTATAATTTAAAAAAATTGACAAAGTTGAAAAAACGCTAAACATATTGTCACATCTAAGTGGAAAATTTGAAACTTCAACTTTAGATTTTCCCCCTCTCTCTATAATTTCTGATTGCTAAAATTACATCATCTGATTCTTAGAACTTTAAAAGTGATAGTTATAGAAATTAGATTTTATTTCTATTTTTAAAAAAAACTCTTTCTATTAAAGATATATGAAATAGATTTTTATGGAATATATTCTAATAAAAACAAAAACTATTTATTTATTACTATTGTAATAAATACAATCTCTTATCCGTGAAAATGATATATCTGTACAAGTTTTATATATTTTTATGCATTTGTATGCAACATATTTAAAATTAATAAAAAAAAGTAAGATAAATGCAAAAGGAAACTTGATGCATAAAGGTTTATTTTGTCACTAACTCACATCAATGCGCAAAATCTTTTTGGCTTTTCTTTTAGATTAGCGTGGATATCTACATATGTATAAAATAAGTAAACTTTAAAATTTTATTTTATCTTATATATCTATAAAATAAGAAAACTTTAAAATTTTTAATTTTAGAAATCTTTTCTGCTATATTATTATTTTTTTGTTATAAATATATAAGCAAGATTAAAAAAAATTTTAAAATTTATTACGCCAAGAGAAGGCCTTAAACCCTCCAAAACAACACCGATGAAAGCACATTTAACCACTGAGCTATCAATGAAATGCATTTAGCATAAAAACAAACCTAATTATTTCTCTTATAAGCTCTACGTATGCGAAAAAGGTCAGCATGTTAAGTTTTTTGCTCTTAAAGTTTTTTTTCAGAATAAATTATTTTACTAAAAAATATTGAAGTGAATAAGGAATAGTTATAGAAATAATCAGTGAGGAATAGATATGTAAATTGGTAAAGATCTGCATTTTATGGATCTGGAAAGCTAGGATATATAAGGAAAAAGTATAGAAAAGTTTGGTTTGGAATAGATTTACAAAGACCCGTGTTTTTACAGGTTCGATCTCAGCTAGTTTGAATAAATGATCTTGTTAATGTTAATGAGGCTTGTCAATAATGACATGCTTTTACACATTAAAAAAATCGATCAATTAAATTCATTTTCTTGTTGTGCATACTAATTGCGTTTTTTACTTGTCTAGTGTGACACTTTAAATCTGAGACTGATTTACTATGATCTTATGAACCTTTGGAAAATTTTAAACCAATTGGGAATACCCCATAATAGGCGGTGCCATCAGGCTGGCTAACACCCTATATATATATATATATATATATATATATATATATATATATATATATATATATATATATATATATATATATATATATATATATATATATATATATATTACTGTTTTAAAGTTGTATTCAATAATGTTTTTTCTTATAAATGTATTAGATGGTGTTTTTTCTATAAACGTATTCAATATTTTTCCAATAATTGTATATAATAATATTTATCCTATAAATGAATTTAATAATGTTTTTCCTATAAATATATTCAATAACGCTTTTCCTGTAAATAAATTTAAATCATATTTTTCCTATAATTGTATTATTTGTATGTATATTTCCTGATTATTAAATGTATATTTTCTATAAAAATTAGGATAACACTTGCATTGTATTTAACATAAAAGTATAAAACTTTGTTTTCATTACAAACTATAATAAATATATACTATAGTTTGTAATAACATTATTAATTTATGTTTTTTAAAAATTGTACACAATTATATATATAAATAAAATCTTTGTTTAAAAAATCTATTTATGGTATCTTTATAAAAGTAAAGAATAAAATGTAAATGAAATTAAAAAGTTTATTATGTCCATAAATTGCAATGTAAAGATTTTTTATCATTTCGAAATTGTTAATTTTATTTTATTTTTTGTATTTATTGTTTTTTTGTTTACTAGAATACAGTTTGTTCATTTAATTAATATTGTTCAAAGTTCAACTTTTTTTCTTTGGTAGTTGGTAAATAGAAAGTTAAAAAAAAAAAGTTGATAAAAAGAACTTAATTATCTTTGCATTTTTTTTTTGAAAAACCATAAGTTGGTATAAATATTTTGAAAAAAGGGTCTGTAAACAAAATAGATAAGATTTATTACTAAGAAATAGGTAAGTACAAAAGCTCTGAGTGACTTCACTACCACAAGCATATCAGCTAATGGCATAATGAAACTACTTTTTAAAAACGCTAGCCTAATAATTTTTGGATGGATAAGTATGTTGAAATTTTAAGTATTTCCAGTTCCTTTATCCAACCTGTATTTTTTTTTAATTTTAAATAGAAAGAATATATAACCATCAATCCATAATTCACTACAAGAAACCAAATTTTATTGCTATGTCAAATTTTATTGCTATGTCAATATTTTTCTAAATCTTTTGTTGCTATAACATTTTATTAAATGGATAATGTTCATGTATCACACATTCATGAGGTGTTCAGCTATTGATGCAGTTTGGCATGTATGACTTTTAATCAAATTTAAGTTAAGCTTGCTCTTCTACAATTTTTTTATGCATTTTTTTTGACTTTTGATGAATACTTCGAACAACAGATAGCAACCAACAACTTGGATTTTGAGTGGTATCTTTCTTTTGTTTTTTAGTTATCTTTTTTCTAGTGAATTTTTTTTTTTTATGATTCTTGAAATATTTGTAATTCTTTGCTTAAATCTACTTGTTTTTTTTTACTGGCAGAAGCATTTTTCTATGAAAAATGAAGTTAAAAATGAATAATTCAAACATTTTCAAAAAATTATTTAGCATTGCTCAGCCAGAAAATTCTTAAAGGCCCAAGAATATTTGAGCTACTTCTACAAAGTTTAGGCAGGTCATAAGAAGTTCACAAAGTTTAGGCAGGTCATAAGAAGTTCACAAAGTTTAGGCAGGTCATAAGAAGTTCACAAATAGGCAGGAGAATCATAGTACTACTATAATCTTATGTTTTTTTAAAAGATTGAGTGATATTTTATAAAGTTTGAAGTGAAATAAACCTATTATAATTCTTTAAAAAAAAATTGAAAATTCTAATAATATATCTAAAGTGAGACAGATCAAGAAAAGGAATATCTTAAAAAATAATGAGTCTGTTAACACTAAATCGAATGCTTAAAATCAAATACAAAGTTTTTTAAAGTTTTAAAAATTTTTTAATAAAAATTTTATTAGGATCTAAAAAATCAGTTGTGATAAATCAAACACATAAATATAAATCCGAAAAAAACCTTTGCACATATTGCATGTGGATTGACAAAAACTTTAGGAAAACAACAAAACATTTACCTTCATTAAACTAGAATAGGCTTTAGGGAAATACTGATGTTCACTTTTTCCAAGCTTCCAATACACCTTCGCAAGAGTATAATGACATTTAGAATTAGCAAAAAGACCAAGAGCTTCATACAATCTGTAGAAAAATTAAACTTTAAATATTTTACAACTATCAAAATATAAAAATAAATTTATTTTACAGCTTTGTGATTTTTTTGTGTTTACAATAACCTTATTAAATATAGAAAAATGTCTTTTTTCATTTTTGAAGTGCAACAAAATTAAATTTAACTAAAAAAGGAGTTAACAAATTATCTGCGTTATAAGAGTAAAACACATTAAAAACTTATTAACACAACTTTCTATTCTTTTATTTTTAGGTTTCTCCTACTCCTTATGTTATCTAAATATTTTTATACATATTTATATTCATTTTAAATGTTGACATCTTTGAAAAAGTTTATTTTTAAACTTTTTTAAAACTCTTAATTTTTTATGGATTTAGATCTATTAACTAAAAATACTCAGCTTTACGATATTTCAAGGGAATATGGATACCCTTGTTATCAAGTATATTAATAAAACTGTTAAAAAAATTTACAAAACAATGTTCTTTGTAAGAGTTTCTTTTTGAGAGAGTTTAATGTGATATAAGAATTAAAACATTGGTTTCCAAAATGACGTTGTCACATAATTGCTATCATCTTGGTTAAGACCATTAATGAAAAAAGTACATTGATGGTGTTGTATTTTCAATGCTACCTTTATTGTTTTAACTATTCATTTCTGATTTAAGTATTCAATTATTAAGCAATCGCTCCAGTAGAAATTTCTTTGACAAGTTTTTGAATGTTCAGTTACAGCTGATTTTCCTCTTTACCTTGATGTGCACTCCTTTGATATTAATTTCTGATGTCATAACTAATTGGTCCTTGTACGAACTCTCTGATGAAGAATTAGACACCCTTAAAAATGGTTTATGGTTTTTAATTCTTATCTAGATCTTATACTACTTCTGTCTGTGGTTTTCCAAAAATGCCCCAATTAAAATCCTCTGAGCATATCATAAACTTTAGATCTATTGTATTGCTTAAGATTCTGCAACTAATAAGTTTAGATTAAAACTTAAAGAAAGTATGTTAAAACCTGATATGAATAAGCAGGTTAGCCATGTCTAAATGACATCTTCTGTTCTGCTGTTACTTTCTAAATATATTGTCTATCTTTTTATTTATTAACTTTTTAATCTATTCTTTTGTAACTTGCAATTCTTTAATAGATTTTATTGTATTTTTGTAATTATATTAATAATACTTTGCACACAGATAATTACAATGTTTTTTTTTAATCATCTTTATAAACATTTCACTTTTTAGAGTTGAAGTATTTAATTTCAACTGATTATTATTAGTGATAGTCAAAACTTTTTTTTTTGTTAATAAAATGATTTTAATAATTAAAATTGTTCTTTTTTATCAAAATATTTAAAGTTTTTGCACCTAAAAGAAATACTGGACTTGCTTAAAACTAAAACAATAACATAAAACATTTCTCAATACCCTCATAACCTCATGTTTAAAAAAGAAACTACTTTTTTTTATGTTATCACCTAAAACACTGTTTTTTTTTAAATCATTTTGGTAATTTATTTCATTCTAGCATTTTTTAATAGTTCTCTCTTAATTATATGTGTTTATTATTTAATTTATTTAACTTTAAATTTGAAATTAAAAAACAGCATTCGCTAAAAAAACTAAACTGTAGTTGTTTATTAAAAACGATGCATTAATGAAATTAACATAAATTAACATAATTAAAGTAAAAGTAAAATGTAATGTAAATGAAACTGCTTTGAATTGAACTTTTTTAACATGTCATTATCACCAATCATTAAAATAATTTTTAACACTTTTTGAGGGTTTAAAATCCTCAATTTAGTTACACTTTATTAAACACCCCCTCTACTACACACACAAACACACATAGCTATGAAACACACAACACCCCCTCTACTACACACACAAACACACATAGCTATGAAAAAGATAGAGACAATAAAAGAGAAATAAACCTTTATTTTTATTCAGGAAACAGTGTTGTTTCTGGTAAGGATCAAAAGGGCATCATCTTATGTGGGTATAAAAACTATGTAGTCAAAAAATTATTTAAAAAAAATAATTTATCGAACTATGCATAGTTATATAAATCTTCTAAAATTAATGAAATCTTTCCTTGGTTGATGTCAGAATTAGCACTCTAAAAACTGGCAACATGATAAGCCATTTGAACTTTTAAAAAAAGTTCATTTGTACAAGTTCATGAATTTTAATATTATTTAAATATCCATTTTATTCTTTTTAGATTTTAAACTTCAATTAAAACTTGGGATTGCTAAATTAAATCTGTATGTTTGTGTTCTGTCTGAAGCTCTGACGTGGTGTTGACTCACCCGTAATTTGCTATCTGTATGCTTGTGTTCTGTCTGAACCTCTGGCACGGTGTTGACTCACCCTTAAGTTGCTATACGCACGTTTGTGTTCTGTCAGAACCTCTGGCGCAGTGTTTACTCATTCATAAGTTATTTTATGTATGTGTTCTGTTTAAATGTCCTGTTTAAAAGTTTAAATTTGTTTTTTTATTAAACTTACGCTCACCCTAATCTCTAGTATTTTGTTGGGTGTAATATTTTTTCTAATGCATTTCCAAAATATCATGCCTGATGTTTTAAGATGCTGTTTGCAGGAAATAGCTCCTTTTAACTACTCCAGGTCAGGTTCAAGATCATTACAATCACCCTGCTACTGGTATAATGTAACTCATACCACCTGCCCTGTGCCCTGCCTTGTAGAATGTGAGTTTTCAGGCAAAGGTTAGGAGAAACAAACTATGACTTAAAAATCCCTTGCCTTGGGGCTCTTGGTTGAGTAAAAGCTAGAGATGGTAACTGGATAAAAATAATCATATTGGGCAGATGTTAACTGCATCCAGCTACTGTTGTGTAGCTGGAACAGCTACAGATAGTCGTTGCCTCCTACCAAAGAAAAATATTCTGCAGAATATTCAAAATATTCTAGGGTAAGCAGAATATTCTGCCATGAACCCCTTCTTCATTTACTAGGCTGGCATAGAAGTAACCTGTGTTACATTGTTTCCTGCCTAGGATGATGAATGCTGGATCTTCTTGACTTTTCTCATAGGTTTTTGTGCTTCCTTGATAGAGGCTATGTGATATGCAACTCTTCCTGTTATCTCCTAATGAGAGTACAGCTTTAAAACTCAGTTAAATGGTTTTGAGGCTGGCTGGAAGTAAGGTTTCCCAAACTCTGTGGTAGCTATCAGAGAGGTTGATTCCATCTACAGCTGCAAAATATCAGAGTATTAAAAGTGCCATGTTGCACATGGATGGTGTTTCTGTTAATGCTTTTAGTGCCCATTGTCAAGGCCACATAAGAAACACTATATAACGACTTATTGTTAATTAACAGGACAGAGAAAACTGCATAGCTCATAGCTTGGAAGCTCATCTATGAATGAGTCAAGTTCTCTTTAAACTTAAATATGCCAAAAGTAAATCAAAAATTAAACATAAAAAAACCATCCCTATCACCTAACTGTTTTAATATATCGTTTACTAATATTTGTGGTTTGCGAAGCAACCTTCCATCAGATAAATCTTATCACTCCCAAATTTCACCAAATTTGCTTGCTTTTAGTATGACTAATTTAAATTTTGCTATTCCTTCTTCTGATCTCAATGTTGATGGGTACTATCTTTTGATTTGCAAATCCACTCCAATAGTAACATGATTGTCTTGGGGTATACTTATGCATCAATTCACCTATTTGTTGTAAAATCAGGTTTGAATCCTTTGACCATTCCTTTATGTGCTTCCACATAGCATCTCTTCACTCTATCACCTTTCTCTTTGTTCTTTATTGTTCTCTTTCTTCCCAAGACCTCACTCTTTTAGATATAATTTCTGATCATATTGACCATATCTCTCTCTTTTTACCCCTCTGCCAATATTATTGTTATTAATGACTTCAATAGTCATCACACTGAATGACTTGGCTCTAACGCCACTGATCCTGCTGGCACTAAAGCCTATAACTTCTGCATTTCACAATCTTTTACTTAGTTAACTTTGTGATTCATTTTCCTGACAACTCTATTCATTTACCTTCACTCCTTGATTTATGTCTGGTCTCTGATTCTTGCTTGTGTTCAGTTTCTCCTTTTTCTCCCTTACGTGCTTTTGATCATGCAATGATCTCTTTAAATCATTTATCTCGTTCGTCATTTTTGGACTCACCCTATCATCGCACTACTTACTACTACCCTAAAGCTGATTAGGACTCTTTTTGTGATTTTCTTTGTGACGGTCCTCGACCTGATGTCTTTTCCCTTTATGCAGATAAATGTACCTCCTATGCAACCTCCTGGATTCAGGCAGGAATAGATGCTATTTTATCAAAACTTTTTTATAAGTGCTTGAATGAGTTTAGTTTTCCTGGCTGAAAAATGGCATCTGTTGTTCCAAATTTTAAAAAATCTGATGAGCATTCTGACCCCTCTAACTATCGCCCAATCAATCTTCGTTCTGTTATTAGCAAGGTCTTTGAGTCTTTAATAAACAAATTTCTCACATCCCATCTTGAGTCAAATACCTTGGTGTCAGACAATCAATACGGTTTTCCATCCTCTTGCTCTATGGCTGACTTACTAACTGCTGTGACTGAAAGATTTTATCGTGCATTAGATGGACGAGGAGAGGTTAGGGGTAATGCTCTTGACATATCTAAGACTTTTGACAAAGTTTAGTATGTTGGTCTTCTCCATGAGCTTGTTTCATATGGTGTATCTTTTTTTTTTTTTTTTAAACATCTTCACTTCCAACAAGGCTGCAAGCAACCACTATAAGAGTTGGAAGTTACTGGAAGAGAAAAGACTAAATCGTTATCTTGCTCTGTAGAGCAAGATAACGATTGACTGATGACTTAAAAGATTGCAAATTATATGAATCAGGAAAGCAAGATGAAGGAAGCGAATTCCAAAGAACTGATGTTCGAGGAAAAAAACTAGAAGAATAAGAGTTTTTGAAGCACTTAGGAACAGTCACAGAAAAAGGATGAGAC